CATGGAGACATCTTCCGACGTCGGATGACATGTCCGCCCTTCAAGCTTCAGGAATGCTTCAAGCTTCTTGACCTCCCGCCATGTGCTCCGCCGCTTGTGACTACGTGCATCCCCAGCGCCTCCCATCCCCATCGCATTCCTAATGTCTCGCTTAGGGTGGGCACCCCTCCACGCCGTCCTCCTATCTGTTCATCTCGCCGGGTTCATCAAATGGTCGTTGGTGGCTGCTTGATAGCCTCCGAACGCAACGCGAAAGAACAACAACGACCACGACCACGACCACACAAGACGCGCACAAGAGCCCATCTCCGCGGCCACGCCGCAAGCAGCATCGCAGCGCGGTCGGAACCGTTCCGTGTTGCACGTCTCCAAGTCGATCCATACCTACAATGTTTCGAACTTTCTCCGCTCTCGCTGTAGAGAACAAGGCGTCCCTGGCGTAGCGGCGATCTCCTGCTGTGTCCAAGTTCGGCCCTAGGCAAGAACACTCGATAATCGACCCATTGGGTATGGGCCGCCGGCCGACAGCGTCAATGTCACCGCCCTTCTCTCCCTGCCGCGCTGCGGATTCTAGCCCACTGTCAGACCAACGGCGGATCTCATATCGGACTTGGTCGCCAAAAGGCTCGGGCTGCAGCCCAGAACCTTGTACGACAGTCGACCGCCGCCCACGCTCTCCACTGATGTACAACTTGTCGCTTCTCCCGCGCCCCCGAGCCTCCGCACGAGAACTTCTGTCGGTGGAAGTCGACGCTGGAATTCGGAAAGGAAGAAGATGAGAACCCGCTCGCTCCGTGAGCATCTCCGTGCCCGGTTTCTTGACAAGTCCCCAGCCCACAGCTGCTGTCACTAAGCCTGTCCTGTGCAGTAATCCGGGCGGGCAATTTGGCCCGTGCGCTCGCAACGGGTGTATTGACTGCACGCCGCACGCCGAATGCTGGATGCTGGATGCCTGATGTCATGTGCCACGATGCACGTCAACACTCGACGAACCCTGAGGCCTGAGCTCTGGCTTGAGGTCTCCTCATTCCGGAAGTTCCTCCACGGTAATATTCCCCCTCAGGCGCAGTTCTCAGTCCACACAACATGGACACACTCCCGCGTCCGGCGTACCTGCCTCGAAATTCACGCTGTATGTTGCAAGGTGGCTCAAATGTCCGGCGCGAACCCGGACAAGTCGGGACACTTGCGGAGCGCGGCTGGTCGCTGCCGACGCCCACCCAGGATGGCGAGGCGACCATCGCGCACGCGTACCGTTGCAGGAGAACGGGGGGAAGAACGTACACATGCCAATCGGTCGCCTGCGGTTACTCGGAAGTGATCAGCTAGTTTGTCGCAGCGTGGAGTTCCAGTGAAAACCACTTACTTTGCTACGGGGAGTGCTGTGATCATCTGCGTATGCACCTGGCGGGCGTCGGCGTCGGCGTCGGCGACACAGAACTGACCGCGTTCGGCCGTGCCCGCCGCGCTGGGCCGGGATCGCCGCTCTGGTCCCGCGCTCTCGCAGTGCGCCCCCGGACGGATCGTTGTCTGGGCACTGGTAACGACGTTTGATCTGAGCAAGATGACAGATCCATGACCTCCTGGATCTGTCGTGGCGTGTCGGTGTCGCGTCCGCCGTCTTCTTCTCGAGCCCCATTAGGCCCGCGCCGCGCCGCCAAACGGACATCCATTGCAGAAGTGTTGTCTTACGGCAGTAAGTACCTGGGCACCACACCCGACATGGCTAGAAGAGGCAACTTTCGCACCGTCGTCACCGTGCCGTGTTCAGGAAGAGTAAGTAGGGAGCATTGACCCCGAATCTGCAGGGTTCGCTCTGGTTCTCGTTCAGTGCATCATCAACATCATCATCGGGCGTTGACGGCCATCTCGGGATCACTCTTCCCTGTTGTTCAATGGTGTGCGGCGTGATCAGCCGTCGTCGGGCTTCCGCATTCGAGGCAGGCGACTGGCGTGTGTGTGCGTGCATTCTCCAAGTGACATGCCCGCCCAGCTCCCTAACAATGATTGTAGTTGTACCCTCCGATCCCGTCAACCGAGCGGTTTGCCCGGACGGACCAAAGCGTCAGTACGAGATGAACTTGCTGCAGCGCGCTCATCGGTGGGCTTGAAGGCTTGCCTGCTATTGGGTCCGTGCGAGCGGGCCTTTCTCATGGCCCGTTGCTCTCCGCTCGCTCAATCGGTCGCACGTCTGCAGATCTCTGCTGCATCACGACGCCTGCGGCGCTTAGCAGTAGAAGAAGGCAAACCACTTGCCCGCTCCGGGGCGGCTGTTCCTGTTGGTGCACACCTACATGCTGCGGTTGTCGGGTGTGCGAGTGAGTGCTTTCAGGCTCCGCGGCGTGGGGTGGCCCGGCTCCTCAAGGCCTCACGCGGGCCTCGTGTTCGGAGTAAGTACGAAGGAAGGAAGACTAGAGTGTCGCCGCCGCAACGGTCCGCGTCAACGTTCACATCACTCGCCCGCCGTCAAACAAGGTACAGACTACGGATGGACGTTCGGACTTGGCTTTTCTTGCCACCACGCTGCTCCCCTCGCCTTCCCGATTCTCGTCCCTGCTTTGGACCACTTGTGCAGCGCGGAAGACGATCGCATCGCGTGTACTTCGTGTTCTCCGCGAGCGGAACCGATTTTCACGGGTGCGGCGCACACCGTACGTACGCACATCGTGCCGAAGGGACCGACACCCGTTGTGACCGGACATCCAGAACAAGCCACAAAGTCGTTCCATTCTCTTCGGAATTCGGGCGTGTCAAAAGGCAAATCGTGGCACCCCTGGGCCTGGCCCTGCATGTAAGTTACGTTGAGTGTTCGGCCTATCGTATGCAATGTGCTTACCGCGTGGACGTGTCTCCACATACTCCAACTGCCGCTGAGGCACAGAACCGCACATTGTGTCGTGCTCTGCACTGGCAGAGCGCTCGTGTGAGGTCGTGCCATGGTTGAAGTGGAATGGAACCAATGTTGACTATGATACACATAGAAATCGGCGTTGTGAAACTCAAGACTCTGCTTGCGTTCCTGGCCGCCTAACGTCCCGCATCAACCTCAAATCTCGAGCGTCCGACGGGTGGTCACGATTACCACATGGCATCTGGCGGTTGGGTCGATGCGATCCTCACGAACTTGGAGGGTTTGTGCGCTCTTCCCTATGTCATTCTTGCTTAACGCGAGGTCAAAACATGCGTGATCACTTCAGCACTCGAGCTTCGACGTCTCCATCTCGTCAGATTCCAGCGTCAGACGGGACAAATCGCCTAAGTTGAGAAACGAGTCTCTCCGACTTGAATATGGTGAATTGTGAGCGTCCAATCTCTGCCATCTCCAACGTGCGCTGCGTGGCAGACGTCGGTCGTGCGTTGTTGGAGCAACGAGAGAATCATATCGGATGTCGGCCAAGCATCATGCCTCCTTCGAAGCTCCTCGGAGTCCCGCAGGCCTACAAACACATACGCAATTGACATCTGTGCCTGATAAAGATGTGCCTGAATTCATTTCGTCCTATGCTGTCCTATCTACACGAGGTTCCGTGTCTCCGTTTCTCCTCCGCGGCTAACTTCCTCCGGTGTTTGCTATGCTGCGGTGGTTATAAAGCGCTCGCACACTTTGTCGACATCGTGTGCATCCGGACGACGTGCCAATGGGAGAAATGCTTTCATTGTGATGCACGATGAAGGAACCGTGAGTGGCCCGAGGAGGGAATACCAGCCAGGCCCCGCGAGGTGGGGTAGGACACGCCCATTCCCTTAGCGTGGTTATCCACTGAGCGCCTTTCTGGTATTAGTGAGCGAACCTGTCACGTGCACTGTATTCTACCCAGAGCCTTCCTTGACTAGTATGCTGACTTCATCAAGTGAGCAGATTGTTTAGCACTCACGCAATTCTTGTCTCACCAATATTGAGGTTTCAAGGTTGGAGATCTGGTTGCAGAAGCTTGTGTGATGTCTTGTCGTCGGTGGATGCCCTATGAGCAACGCCATCACGGTGTATATCCCTCCGATCTCGCCTTGTAGCATATCGACAAACCAGGATCAGCACGCTAACTCATACTGGATAGATGATCCCTCACACAAATATCCGTAAGTGCGGCTCACCGAGTCAACCCTCCGATAGATATCGGAGGCGGTGCTGGAATTAGGGTCCCATGCAACGTCGGTTCCCCTGCTCCGACTCGCTACGCCCCTTGGCTGATGTGGGTAGAGTCAAGGCTTCACCTTGGTCGACGGGCTCGTTGATATTCACCCCATCAGGGTCAACAAGTTCAGCGACTCGTGGCCGCTCATGCATTTCAACTTCTTAGTTGCGGCGCGATCACCTGGGACAACCCCGCCCATGTTGATGGGACACCACTGGAAACTTGTTTCTCCTGTGCTTGCTCATCGTCAATGTCTCAGTAGCACACTCTAGTATCGGAAGACCGCCCATTTTGCCCAAATGGCAATGAAGATGGGTGATCGTGTGCTCGACGAGCTGAAATTCATGACTTGTTCACTGATGGACGACGGTGGAGGGTATATACTTGATCCCACTTAAGTTCGACTGTGTCATTAGCATGTCGCAATCTTTAATTAGGCGAGGTGATGACGATTTGCTGGAGGGATAAGGTGCCAACGACCTCAGTAAGGCAACTGTTCACCAGAAGTGTGAGTACTTACTCATTTAAGTCAAGGAGTCGTCTTGATGTCCTCTGGATGATACTGGCACGGTATCAAGACTTCAAGTAAATTTCAAGTTGCTTCCGGATCCCCTTGGGTGATATGTACATGAATCAGTCGATGATATCATTCGTGATACCGTGCGTAGTCAGCAGTATCCTTGGCTACTTATCTTGTTAAACGTAGTGCTTCTTGAGCCACCGAACGGCGAGCTACGGTCGCGATGAACACTTCGGAGGGTGGTGGATGTACGGTCACTGTCATGGCTCTGAGGCTAGTAAAGGTACCAAGTACCATTGGAAAGTAAGGCATTATGATATAAAGTATCTTTAGCGTAGTCAATTTAAGCCATCGTGGCGCAATGGTAGCGCATCACCTTCCTACCTAGGGAAGGCAGGTGGGGGTTGCGGGTTCGATCCCCGTCGGTGGTAACTGGACACCCTTTTTGTTGCTGTGCGAGAAAGAACCACCATATCGATAGCCCCTCAAGCAAACCACCAGTGACGGTTACGCTGCCACAGCGTGCGATACGAGATGCGTGAACATGAGCTGGATTCAAAAGTGTGCAATATGTGATAATATACAGGTGGCGGATGTGTAGTGTGTAGTAACGGACCTGCTCTAAGCCGAGACGGTGATGCTTATTAGGGGTGATGAGGGTGACGTACGTATATAAACTCTCCTACGCATCGCGACACGTCGGGCAGGCTCGACAACACGCCCCCCGACCCATATAGCTTATGAGCAATAATCCTCCAAGCATGTCAAGGTGTTGCTGGCAAACACATCAGAGCGAGAGGGTTTCCTTCCAACGCTCCGCGACGGCCTCACCGCGGAAGACCTCGTGGAGGACCTCTTTGACGTCCTCGACGTAGACGAACCGAATGCCCGTCTTGACGCTATCCGGCACATTCTCCTCGATGTCCTGACGGTTGCCCGCGGGCGCGATGATAGTCTTGATCCCTGCGCGATGCGCGGCGAGGATCTTCTCCTTCAAGCCGCCGACGGGCAGCACCATACCTACGAGCGAGATCTCACCCGTCATCGCTATCATGCCACACCAGTCAGCAACGGGACGGGCAAACCGCAACGTGCATCACGTACCGATGTCGGGGCTGATCTTCGTCTTGGTGAACAGCGAGACGAACGCGGACAGAATTGCCGTTCCTGCGCTCGGGCCCTCCTTCCCGATGCTGCCCTCCGGCATGTGGACGTGGATATCGCGGTCGATGATGAATTGCTCGTCTGGCGACTTCGTGATGCCGAGCTCGAAGGCGTGGCTCTTCACCCATGATAGAGCGATCTGAGCACTTTCTCTGATTACCTCGCCGAGCTTCCCGGTCAACTGTAGATTGCCTTTGCCTGGGGTTGACTTATGTATGAAGTATCATTAGGACATGTCATCAGAAGCGATGTAACACCTACCAGGGCTTCAATTGGCATGACTGCTCCAGAGCCATTGCCCAAGTACCCTAGACCTGTAGACACACCAGGAGGAGGCGCTTGGATATACATCCTATCCTTCTGATACACCGGCGGGCCGACGTAATCCTTGAGGTTCTCCGGTGTGATCGTGACGTGCACGGTGTCAGGTACCTTCATGGGCATCCGCTCGACGGTGGTGACGACACGCTCAGACTCGGCCTCGGACGATGTGCGTGGTGTTCCGGTCTCGGGGGCATCCGGAGTATCGGTGGGCGCATCCTGCTTCTCGACGGTGGTAGTCGTCTCCGGAGAAGGCTCGTCGGACTTGCTAGATTCGGCGGCGGCGGCAGCCTCAGCAGTAGGTAACGGGGTAGGCTCTGGGAACACCTCCTCGCCAAGCTCTCGGACAATCTTAAGTGCAGCTTTGCGGTAGATCTGCGTGATGTCATGAGTAAATATTCTTCTCAATGAACGTTGCACACATACCTTGTCAATGTGTTTCTTCAAATTCCGTACACCGCTCTCGCGGCAGTAGTACTTGATGAGCACGTCAACCGCAGCTGGATCCAGTTGAACGTCCGCGTCCTTCAATCCCGACACCTCCTTCGCTTGAGGTCCAAGGTATCTTGACGCGATTTGGGACTTCTCCTCAGAGACATAACCGCTGACCTCGAGCACCTCCATACGATCGAGCAGGGGAGCAGGGATGGTGTCAAGCATGTTCGCTAAAGTCGGATTTAGTGTGATTGCGAGTTAGGTACCTATAGCGCAAACGCACCTGTGCACACGAAGAGGACACGGGAGAGGTCGACAGGAACGTCCATGCTAACTAAATGTAAGCAACTGACATAACAAAATGTATGATGATGATGATGCTCACTAATGGTCAAGGAAAGCAGTATTCTGCTCAGGATCAAGCATCTCGAGCAGCGCACTAGCGGGGTCGCCGTTGTGCCCACGACCGATCTTGTCAACCTCGTCAATCAGCACCAGTGGGTTCTCAGTTCCGACGCGCTTCAATGCCTGGATGATTTTGCCCGGGAGCGCACTGAACACGGTGGGAGTCAGCCGAGCTCCTGTAAAGTGACGATGGGAACTTACCCAACATAGGTCCGTCTGTGACCCTTGATCTCGGCGACATCCGTCAAACCACCGACCGAGAAGCGGAAAAACTGCCTGTTAAGCGCACGAGCGATTGACTTGCCAATGGATGTCTTGCCAACACCAGGAGGGCCAGCCAAGCAAATGATCTTGCCTTCAACCGTGCCTCGCAGTTTACCGACAGCGAGGAACTCGAGGATACGGTCTTTGACGTCCTTGAGGCCGTAATGGTCCTCGTCAAGCACCTGCTGTGCATGGGCGATGGAGTAATTCTCGCGAGAATGTTGACCCCACGGTATCTAGTACAAAGTATTGAGATGCTTCATCACGCACGATGCAGAGATAGCCGTACCTGAGTGAGCCATTCTAGGTAGTTCCGCGTAACGTTTGCCTCAGAAGCCGCGGGCTCAAGGTGCATGAGCTTGTTCAGCTCCTCGTCGAAGACCTTGCGAACTCCATCGGGCATCTTGAGCGCAGCAGCCCGTTCTTTGAACTTCTCGATGAGCTTGTCCTTTCCGTCCGACTCCATGCCCAGCTCCTTCTTGATGCCCTTAAGCTGCTCCATGAGATAATATTCACGTTGACGCTTGGCGATCTTGCTGTCGACATCGCGAGCGAGCTTGCTCTGAAGCTGGGCGTTGATAAGCTCCTTCTTCAACACGAGAAGCGCCTTCCGTAACCGTTCTTCAACGACTAGACTCTCTAGGACATCTTGCAGCTCGTTGGGTTCGCCTGTCGACACGGCAGCAGCAAAATCCGCGAGCTTGTCCGGCTCGTCAAAGACGTTCGAAGCAACCTGATTGATCGAAAAGTTCGCAATCTGGTCGCGGAATAATGGGTTCAGTTGTGCAATGTCCTTGAAAACAGCGACAATTTCCGACATGAAGGCCCGAATGTACTGGTTATCCTTCGCATAGGGCTGGGTGACCAGGTTGTCGACGTTGACGACAGAGACGGCATATTTCTCGAGGAACGAAGTTTGCATCGTCATGGGAAGACCGTCGCGCTCCGGAGGAGGAGTTGGAAGCTGACCTTCGGTCTCCGCGTTCTCCATCGTGCTCTCTACGACCGGTTCAACCTTGGCGATACCACCATCCTTCACCAACTCCGTCAGACGGATTCGACGGTGTGGGTAGAGTACCGCGGTGAGACCTTCTTCTTTGTCGTCCTCCTTGCTTCCCTGAGCAGTGAACACGCTGGTGATCTGAGCGAAAACACCGACAGGGTGGACCGAGTTTGCGTCCGTGATGATGTCACTGTCCGCGTTCTCGTCCTTGAGAAGGAATGCCCCAAGGTATGGTTGGCCGCGACGCATCATCTCCTTGATAGCAGCAACGACCGAAGGATTCCGGATGACGACTGCCTTGTAAAAACCGGGGAAGAGTGGACGACGCGCGATGGGTAGAGCAAGGACCTGCGGGTACGATTCTGGTACGGATTGCTTAGATATTGATGTCTGTGGAGGCGGAGGGTTATCCGGCGGAGGAGGCGGAGGAGGTGCCTCTGGACTGTCAGAGCCATCGCCTGAAGACGAGGAGGAGGAAGGAGGCGTTGAAGGCGGAGCAGCGGCTGGGGGTGCAGATTGGCCGTCATCAGGATCGTCAAGTCGTACGCCAGATTGCGACGAGTCTGTCTGGGACTGGGCGTCGTCCGACTTCTGCTCGCGTGCGTTCCCCAGCCTCGCATTCACCCAACGGGGCAAACGAATGGCTGCTGTCGGCGTGTAGTCCGCGACGGTAGACGAACAGAACGCACGGCGCGTGGCAGCCGCTCTCCCCGCTGCGTAGAAGGCCGTTCTCGAGGGCACCGCGAGGCCTGAGGAGAGCGCGAGCCTCGATGGTCCTGGGTCACATACCCTTTGACTACATGCCCGGGACGAACGACCAGCGGCTGCTCGTATGCTTCCAAACACGTTCATGCCCCGCGCAGCTGCCTAGGACTGTCCAGCGTCGCGGTCGTTAGCAGGCGGAAGGAGGAACGGGAAGGAAAAGGGAAGGAAGGAAAGGTCGGGTCCGAGTGTGGGTGCTGAGCAAGATGCTCAGAGTCGACTCTGTGACGCGTCACTGAGCCTCGGATAAGATTATCTAATCAGATAAGATGCTTAGGGTGCTGAGTCAGCTGATAAGATGGAGGGCATCTTAATTGCCGACCGGTCTAGTAAGCGCTGTAACTTCTTCTCGGACTCGCTGTCGGTGCCAACACTCTGCATTTTCTCGAGGCTGCTGCTGCGCATGGCACTTGACTGGCTGCGGTAACTACATCGTCTGTTGATGTCCGAGCAGACCCCGTCCAAAGCCAAGCGAGCGGAGAAGAACAACGACCATCTCTTCCGAGTCATTATAGACAACCTCAAGAACGGCACGGAGTCCCACTACACGACCGCTGCAGATAAGTTAGCTGCATGGTTGCAGAGTGAGAGAGCTTATTATGAAAGAGCACGTCCCGTGGTACGTTTGCTCACTGCGGCCATTCGTTCATGTCGTTCATCGCAAATTGCTCCAGATTGTCGAGTTAATTGAGGTATCATCGAGACATCGCTTCTTGTCTTCCTATTGTACGTCTAATGCTTTTGTAACAGACTGCTCATGAAAGAGTCCAACGCATGAGCGAATTCCCTCAGTATCCATTCCATATCAAGAGATACAACGAGAAGATCAAGCCATGGGCGGATCCCTTCATCAAGCTCGTCGAGGCGGTAGCACCCTACTACCTGCTCTTCCCTGAAGCTAGTCTCACATGTGAGTACTGGAAATTCTTGCACGCGCTACATGCTCACCCGTGTCCTGCTTTTGTACCGTCCTATCAGTGCGGTTACGAGAACTTATAGCCACCGTCTGTGACAATGTCGATGACTACTTGAAACAGAAGCCGCTGTATCGACGTGGTGCCTCTAGTACTATCTCTA